GAAAAGGATTCCTGTCAGCAGGAAGGGAACAAAAAAAGCAGACAGACAGAGAGTGAGTGTACATGGTGGATGAATGGAGATGTGGATAGGTGGATGGATAGATTGGATGGGCACCAGAAATGGGAATCGATCGGGCCGGATAAGGTCGAGTCTCCCCGGACTGGGAAATTGGTCCGATTCATACCGTCTGGAAACCATAATTACACAAATTGGCCCTGCTGCGTGGCTGGCAATTGGGGGTATCAATGGTAATTGGTTTACGTCACGCGACCTCTGCCGGAGCGCCAGATTTTGCATGTGATTGCCTTGAAAAGGCCGACGGATTCCCAGCGACGAGAAGCAACTCGTGTAGTAGTGACTGACTGTCTGAATGCTACGATCGATCTGTCTATCTACGGTTACTCTCTCCACCGTCCATTATCCCCGGATTCTGCCGTCAACCCTCCCGTCTATCTGTCATTTTCAATGTGGGGGATGCCTTTTCCGTCAGGTGAATTTGGTCTTGTTGACGGTGTTTCGTATCCTAGACCTCCAGACATTCGCCCGTACTTCCCCAGCACCCTCGATCATTGATACTCCCCTCCGCGACCACCGCCCCCTATAGCTAGCTAGCTTCCAATTTTCCGGTGATTGGTATCACTGGAACTCTTTGACACCACATTGTCATCGCATTCCTGAAAGGGTTTATTCTCTTTTCCTGCATCCGCTTTGCCGGTCAAGGCATGTTGGCACTGTCTTTCGGCGCCGCTCTCATTCAAGACTAGCACATGCTAGTCGAGTTTCTTTGCGATATCACATACTTGCCTTCTCTCGCCCCCATCCACCATCATCGCCATGGATCCAAACAGGTCGGGGACACATAAAGGCCAGAATACTCCGCAGCCTGGCCCCTTTGGCTGTAAGTGTATTCCTTCGCTGCTGCCACGTCCTGTCTAATGTGGAGGGGCTTTAGATTCTTTTCTCTCCCCTACAGATACCCCATTTGAACCTGCTCCTGCGCCACCTCCCGGGCCGGCACTCTTGGATCAAGATGAATCATTGATGCTGGATAACTTCTTTACTACGATGAACTCCAATCAGCTCTCCAGTGATTTTTGGCTGCAGAGTCAATCAAATAAGCCATTTGGCACCGCCAACTTCGACTTCTCAGACGAGCTCCTCCCCCCGACTTTCGAAGGGTCCACGACCTCTCTCTCATCACAACCCTCCCTCTCTCATCGCAGCATAGACAAACCGCTCATGGACGTAATGCCGGGGAACCTGAGTGCCAACTCAGATATATTCGCGGCTGCTTCCATGCTATACCATAATGGGATACACGGGGCCGATTTCAATACCAACTTAGGATCACATTCATACCCATCCCCTGACATAGATTTCAACAGCCTCAGAATGTCCACTCATGGCAAATTTCAACCGCAACCCAGCCATGTGCCCTTGAAACAACCCAACAGCTCATCCCGTCCTCGGTTACCCCATGGGTACCATACCTCAGAGATGCTCTTCGATGTCCGTGAACCGATATCGCCGGAGCAACAGCAGACCGCCAAGGTTCGTCCACTGCATTGGGGCTCGGATGAAAGTTTTGTGGATCAAGGATACATTGCACCGCCGGATCAACCAGATGAAGAGCAGCGCACAAAAGAGTTGCTCGGTCACTTGGCATGCTTCGAAGCACAAAGCAGTGCCGCAAACACTCGAGCGCCGAGCCCCGTGCGCATCACCGGAAATTATGATGCAACATGGACTGATACAGATGCGGCTGGACAACTCAGCAACTTGCGCAGAGAGTTCAAGGACAGCATGGAAGATCTTTCCCAACCTAAGAAGAAGCAAAGAGTTTTGGTCAAGGAGGAAGAAGACGATAACTCGGACGAGGAAAGCTCGCGGCCACGATCGAAAAAGTCCAAGGCTTCGTCATCAAGACGAATGTCACATGACGCCGTTCGGAAATCAAGGCTTTCCCAGGGTCCAAAGCCCGCACGAGAGAACCTGACCGAAGAACAAAAGAGAAGCAACCATATCCTTTCGGAGCAAAAGCGAAGAAACTTGATCAGACAAGGGTTCGATGATCTATGCACCCTTGTTCCTGGCCTAAAAGGCGGCGGCTTTAGCAAAAGCGCAATGCTCACGCAGGCGGCTGACTGGTTGGAAGAAGTATTGCGCGGCAATGACATCCTCAAAGCACAGCTAGCGGAGTTGAAGGCCATGAATGGCTTGGTGATGCCTCGGTAGTCACCTCAATTATGCGACCATGATCATCTCTCTTATTCTATCGAAAGCATGGGCTGATCTTCACCCATTTGTACATTGGAGCAGTTCAGCGATCTTCTGGAAGGATGCGCATTGTTCAAACGGTTATGCAGGCGTTTGCTTTTACGGCCGCCCGTCTTGATTTCTACATCGACCAGGGTTTGATGTGCCGACGCACCTGGTTGCAGTCACATTAATAATCCCGGCCTATTACATGTCACCCCATAATACCCACTTGGATTGGCGATAATGGTTTAATTCTCTAAATACCACATAGTATCTAGTTTGATGCATGCATTCTGCCGGGAGTATAAGCTCTCCCGCGAGTTCTTCTCGTTCTCCATTGGTGCTCTGCCTTCGTTGCTTCCCAATCATTGATTCAAGCAAGGATCATTAGTCTTCACGATTGTAAATCCAGCCACAAGGATGTAATGTGAATCGCGTAAAATTGATATACATGTACAAGATGCGATGACAGTTGCTTCTTTCCCATGTACACGGTAACTGTAGAGGACCTTCAACAGATGCCGCAACATACAGTAGTTCTCCGTAGTAGATAGATAGATATATACTCCGTAGATAGCAGCGATAACCCACCACCGTCAGGGGCAGAGCTACTAACTCGCGGGGGTGGCCCCACCAGCTCCAAGGGGCTTAGCGCAACCCGGAATACCCAGTGTGGTCATGTGATCTTCTCAGCAACGGGCCAACGGCGCGTTTATTATGATGACGCTACGTCCGGGTTCCGTCTGGGCATGTGGGTGTAACTACATCAAAAGTGATCAAAGCTATATAATCCAGATTATTCCCTCACCTATAGGATAATTTACAGGTCAAAAATGCCTCCCAAGCGGAAGCGTTCCAGCAATGGACCCGAGCAAAGGAGTGAGGCGCGCAATAAGCCTTATGCCTACTTGAAGCCCCAGGTCCGGCAGGTCTCCGAAAGGACCATCAAATCAAAGTGGTCCACACTTCCGGAGCCGGTTCAAGACAGGGTGCGCGATATGTTTCGGGCCCTGGAGCGTCCAGTTATTGTAAGACAGCAGAACGAGGGCAAACGCATCGAAGCACAGGCTGCTGTTCAAGCTGTTGTGAAAAAGTATAGTTCCTGGTCTTCTGTCTCCTGAGAAATGATTATACTGACCTGTAATCATCTATGGCTACAGTCTGGGAAAGCGGCTTCCGCGCATGCCATTTCCTCCAGTTACGAAAGACTCTGTCTTTGAGTACGAGGCAGCGCTTAAGGAGCATGTAAGTAACGCTCGATAAACCTCCATTGAAGATATGGCTGACACATGTTTGCAGTGTTCCTTGGAGGCTACTTTAGCCACAGTGACTGATAGTATTGATCTCTTGAAGGCTGAAGTCGAAAAGGAAGAAGCTCTGCTCGAAAGAGAGAAAAAGCAACTGCAGGAGATGGAGAGGAATGCGAAGCGAGCAGAAGCGGAGAGGAAGAGGCAATCGAAGAACGTAAGTGTGGCCTTGACGCGAGTAAGTTAAGGGAATTACGCTGACGCTGACCTTTTCTAGGAGCACCCTGTTCTGCGGCAGGTCAACAGCTTGCCTGACGAATATAACCAGAAGCAGACCGAATTTACCCTTGCGGGAGGGAAAGAAACCCAAACGATGTTCGACGAGGTGCGTTTTCACCTCTGTACCCGTGCTTGATATCTGTTGCTGACATACCGCATTTAGCTTGAAAATGACCCAGAAGTCTCGAATATCTTGAAACAACTGACTGGGCATCTGAAGTCAATGCAAAACAATACCGCACCCGTTGCCGGTTTGAAAGACGCAATTGGCAGGTCGCATGCAGCACTAAGTCTAACTTTTATGCCCGAAGACTGAATCCACAAATACCTGTATCAATGGCATGTTCAAAACGATTGTGCCGTTACAATTTGTACGCCGTCTGGAGCGCGTACTCGAAGATGCAAGCCTCATGCCAGTCTTCAAGACATCTTGGAAGACGAGTCATCCGCAGGACGGGATTTAACATCCTACGGTCGACCAAGGCATCCGCGAGCCAGTTTGACGCTACCTGGAAGGTCTACCGCATCCAGTGTGTATATATCCCTCACGCGACACCAGTGATATATGGGGCTAAACGAATTCCCGCGCCTCGGAGAACTGGTCCTCCTGTTCAGGACAAGCTAAGCCTCATCGCGTTCTACCTCGCTTCCTGTCAAGACTCAGACTCTGGGACTCCTCTAGGTCCCAGTGGAGTTTAACAAGATATTGACAGCGGACCCCCACAAGTTAACTACAGGCAAAGAAGTTTAGTGGGCTTTATAAGAAGCTTGTGGCTAGTAATGCTAATGAGGCATCATTCACGGGTCTTTAGCCACCCCAAAGTACTTAATACAACGTCTGATTTTGGAAAGAAATTTAATAACTCTACTGCCCACTCTGCACAACCGCTCAGTGTAAGAGCATGTGGCTGCATATGCTAGATGCAAGTTAACCGAGGTAGAAACCTTGTAACTATTTTCAATAACAGATAGTCGTCCTATATGTTAAAGTCAGAAAACGAGGGTTCTGTTTAATTTATATTTACTTTTTCGCTTGAACAACTGATATTGGCTGCTCTGCTTCGCGCCGTGAGGGATAGTGTCGCACATGGGTTAGCCGCTCATATGCTTTTCCGAGGCTACTAACCGGGTTCGCCGCTGCCGACCCCAATGCGGAGGGGCCCGGGAAATGAAAGATCCAAGTCCCGCACCAGCGGGGAACTTCGATGAGCCGATCGCATCGCGCGTGCCCTCACATTTTCACGTTACAGATCAGCCCGATACCTTCGCCCTCTGCTTGTCCGGTCCATTCACGCCCAGTCGAATGTCTGCAGACGGCCATTTTGCTCCCCGTTTGTGTTTCAATCGACAGCAACAGTGTTAACGGCGAACCAAACCCTGCGCAACACCTTGCGGCTAGCGATCAATGACGGAGAAAAGTGCGGCGTCAACGGGTCCAGGCCCCGATCAACAAACCAGCAATGGGACAGCGGAGAGAAAATCGGATGTGACAGAGGAGGAACAGACTGGGGCAGATGCTGGTGCGAAAGACAACTCGCAGAATACACCGTCCCTCAAGACTGAGGGTGCTGCCGCGGGGGCTCACCCAAGTCCCAAAAAACGTCGCAAAGTCAATCATGGTATGGCGCTATTTGCTATGCATCCTACAAGGATCAAGGCAGCGACTCAGCTTTTTTCCCCTGTTGTTTCGACCACGTTGCTAATTAGAGTGCCACGTTTGCAGCATGCGTTTACTGTCGGCGATCGGTAAAGTCTTTCCCCTCAAACAAGATTACCTTCTTCGCCCCTCACTTCAATCAACCCGAACAAACATCGCCCTTGATACTTGTTGGGCTCTACGCCTAGAGGAGTAATTTGCTAACTGAAAGGCACTCGCTCGCGTGGCACAGCATATGACTTGCGACTCGGTACGACCCGTCTGAGCTCTACCCTCCAGCGCATTTCTGTGAAACATGGAGTGCAATTACCCTTCGGAAATCTAGTTGCTGACGGTTATTGCTTTGCGGGAAATGTAGGAGCGACCCTGCACGCGATGCATAAAACGGAATATTGGCCACCTTTGCCACGACGAACCTCGGGAACCTTCAAAACGGTCGCGGAGTGAAAACGATCATTCGGCTGCCGATGACGAGGGCTCTTCTAATAATGAGTATTCCGGTGTCCAAATGCCCAGAAACGTCGATGGCCCAGAAGCTGCAGGTCAGCAAATGCTACCCGACGGGTCCATCGGCCTACCAACCGCTTCTGTAACTTCTGTGCAGCAGCCTAGCAACATGGCTTCTTCTGGCCAGGGTCTTAATGCTCAACAGCAAAGTGAGTCCTACCTATTAATTCGTCTAGTGCATCATATTGACTTCAGTAAGTGATTGGGTACAACGAATGGCTTGGTGGACAAAGCCAATTCCAGGACATGCACACGTTTCACCCTTCATACATGTTCAATGCACCAGAGGTCACTAATGAGTACAACCTCCTTGGTGACTTTCTGAGCAATAGCCTTTTGGATGATGGCGGAGTGTTCCAGAATGATGAGCTGCAGGGCATTTACTCGGATCCGTCATTACTCAATTCTATGGCGACTCTGGGAAACTCGAGTCAAACCCTTCTTCAGCAGTCTCAACCTGCGCAACCCCAACCTAATCAACAGGCGCAGGGCGAACCTTTACAAGGGCCTACCCCTGCAGTGAGCAATGACAAGGCGAGAGAGACCTATTACATGACCGCAGCAGATCCATCAGGGTCCGACCCGCCGGAGGAGCGGATGAACAAGCTTCTTAAAGCGAAATATGACGCGGGACTCCTTCGCCCATTCAACTATGTGAAGGGTTATGCCAGGCTGAATCAATATATGGAGCGACACTTGCAACAAGCCTCGCGGCAGAAGATCCTCCGACAATTAGATAAATTTCGGCCGAAGTTTCGCGAGCGAATGCAGAGCCTGACCGACATTGAACTCATCCTCGTGGAGATGTGGTTTGAACGAAGCCTGATGGAATATGATCGAGTTTTCGCCAGTATGGCTATTCCTGCTTGTTGCTGGAGACGAACGGGTGAAATATTCCGTGGCAATAAAGAAATGGCAGAGTTAATCGGCGTACCGATTGAGACTCTCCGAGACGTAAGTGATTTCTGCAGACATAACTCTCTGTGGTCGATATCTAATATGATTGTCATATTCAGGGAAAGCTTGCAATCCACGAGATCATCGTGGAAGACCAGCTAGTGAGCTACTGGGAGAAGTTCGGAGCTATTGCTTTTGACAACACGCAAAAAGCCATGCTCACAAGCTGCACCCTGAAAAACCCCAATTCCAACTCCCCTGGAGATGGAATCCCCTGTTGCTTCTCATTTACAATCCGAAGAGATACCCATAACATGTGAGTGACATCATCAGACGATGCGATGGCTCGGTGCTAACTGCTGTTGTTCTAGCCCATCACTCATTATTGGGAATTTTCTGCCGTCACAGCGAAAGGCCAAATAAGCCCTGGAGTTATTTCCCTCGCATTTCTTTATTGTTGCCTAGCAAATGCTCGCGTGGGCTGACGCCTAGTTACTGTCTTCTTTCTTGGTGCTTACTAGTCCTCCCAATGGAGGAGCTTCGCGATATTGTTCCCTTCATACCCTTCTGTCATTGATTTATACGACCATCAAAATGTACCATAACATCTTCAAGGCGTGATTTATTTTCAGGGGAAGGTAGATTGTGGCCTTATAACGTGAACCCAAAATGGACTAGATTGGTCAGGTGTCATTCCGTACTTCGCTTTGGGTGTCGGCCAAGTATCCGCAGGACTACAATCCTGTTCTTTAAGCCATTAGAACAACGACTAAAGTAACGGCACATCGCAGCTCAAAAGCAGAAATGGACGTCATTCTAGGTGAAGCACCTTTTCTGCCTGTCGTTCCATACCTCTTATTGCCTCATCTACTAAGAACGAAGCAACAGACTTCGCAGCTGACCTAACCTATCAGCTCGCTATCGACCAAAAGAAGCGTCATCTAGGTTTAGACGTCAAATCTGTGGCTCAACTGAACCAGCAACTGAATGATTTTCCTTTGCTGATAGCGAGTCCCTCGTCCTCGACTCGGCGCCGGTTTGACCAAGAAGGAACAAAGTTATGGAATACTTGCATACAGCTCATGACTATCTATAGAGACAGAAAAGAAGAAGTTGTCCTCGTGTGCAAAGGTACTATCATGTCTCTCAGCAACGCAGGGACTTCCACTGAGTACGGTATAGTGAAGGCATTCGCTTACGCGATGTTGGAGTATGCCGCACCATATCGAGGCACGGGTAAGTATAACCCACTAACTATTGTATGTGTAAAGGACAGTTAACATCGCCCAGGAAGCAACAGGGCCTTAGAGACAGCCTTTAGCATGGCATCGACGTGCATAGGTAAGATTAAACGCTTATTACTTTCTCCATTATCTCCATGGACATAGCTCTAAATATTCGCTATAGATAACGGCTGTCTCGATTTAAGCCAGAGGATTATTGAAATTGCAGCTGTGCGGATGGATAAGCTTGAGAAATCCGAAAGTGGCATTGAGGGCTCAAAGCTTCAACAGTATACCATAGAGTACTACATGCTTCGTGTCTACTTGGTATGGTCTAGCCGTCCACAAATTACATCAGGCTGACTGTTAGATCTATGTAGGCATGGCTACAAGGGAGACTCGACATCGCAGAACACCTGTTTTCAAAGATACCAGTATCAGACAATGGCAGGGGTCAAGAACGCGTCATGGACATATGCTATAAGATCGGTAGCTGTGCGCTTTCACGCAAGCAATATGATGTCTCTGTGAAGTGGTTGGAAAGGGCGTTGAGGGCATGTGAGCTCACAAGGCATATGGACCAGTCACCGGTCTTGTCAATAAAGGATAAAGAGCTGATGATACTGCATGCTTCTGGTAGGTTGCTCCTGATTGATGATCATGGCAAATATCTCATGCAGGACAGTTCGTGCCGGTCTTCGTCTTGATACCAAAGAGTCCAATGGCTTTCTTGCTAAAGCCCTGGATGCACTGAAAATTGTAAACCATGAAGTCCAGTTATTAGATATTGGCTAATGTCGAACAGCATTACAGTGGAATGTTCCCTGTTCTGGTCATCCAACTTGAGTTGCTGGGCAAGGAAGAACTAAATGAAAACGTCTTTTTGCAAGGTCACTGGATTATATTCTGTGGATGCCCTACCTTCTTGACTAACATAAGGGTTGACAGTGCTACAAAGTACCATTGAATCGCCTGAACTCAAAGATTCACACCTCACAATGTAAATGGTCCAGTATGACCCGTGTATGCGGTCCAGTACTAAAAGTTGCGAGTAGCATCATGTATTATATACAGAAGCTGCCTGGTACATCGTGAGTGTATCGATCAAATTCGTGTACTCATCTAACACTAAATTAGCCCAGAGGTCTCCATTATGATGCTCAAGCAACTGCTCGAACAGGTCATTCTTCTCCCAAATAACGAAACTTCGCTCGAGAAAGTGTTTATAACATTCGTACATGGATTGATGCATTCAAAGAAATGTGCAAATACTAGCTTCGAAGTATTCCAGGAGACAATTGCCAGCTTAAGCAGGCATTATAAACAGCCCTTGAGTGAAGCGGCAACGGAAGCAACACTCATCGTACGTTAGCCTTTATCATAGCTCCAGCTACTATAGTAGGGCTCATTGAGATATAGCTCATCTGGAAACAGGTCAATGATGCGATCTCGAATGACGACAAACTAATAGCAGGCAAATGGTGTCTCTGTTTGTTAGAAGAGCCACTGTTTCAAGTTTCTGCTGCAAATAAGGCTAAGCTCTTTAGGTAGCTAGCTGACGCCTAATAGATCTGTCCCAGAAGAAGAATTAACATTGAGCAGACAGTTCCTCAGATGTACTGCACATGATCCGAATGCCTCACAAGCGATTAATATATTCAATCGAATGCCCGAAGAATGCAGATCATGTCCTTCAACACTGTACCTTATGTACACACGAAGCCTGCAGAGCAGCGAGCCTATCGCATGTAAGTAAACCTCAAGCGCTCTAATAGACATCTAATCTAACACAGAATAGCAAACATATATCTCGAGTCGCTCCTTGAGGACGCAGAAGCCACTCCTTACCTTTTGTCATGTGTAGTAGAAGCCTTCAAGCTTGGGAAGACTCAGCAGGGGCTGGAGAGCCTTGAGCAACTTCTTAAGTCCGCGAAGTGTTCTGGCGCAGAGGGATGCCATGTCGGAAAACTGTTACGGTATGGCTAGTCTTCTATTATGAGATGCTCGTGCTGACCTCAAAATATGCCTGCTCTTCAACTTCTTTCTACCGAATTCGAGAACTTCGGATGGGAAAACGAAACATTACTGAACAAGATTCAGACATTGATGAATCAAGGTAAGTCTCACGCAGGAGCCTGGCAGCTGTTGACTGACTAGCCAGGATTGGTCATGGCAAGTCGCGGAGCACCGGACAACCGCGTATTTTCTGTTGAAGAGCTTGCATGGTTTGCCAAGGCTAGTTATAGCATTGCTTTCAAAGTATTCAGATCGACCGATCTGGAGCCTGTCATGCATCTACTAGACATATCTATTAAAGCAAGTATAAGCCTTCCGAAGCGTATCGGTTTCATCTAATATAGCATAGTTCGCCGATACATGTCAAAAAACGGATTCAACAGAGCACATTGTTCCATCAGAACACTATCTCTTATGCGACTCACTCAAGATAGCTAGGGTCGTTGTAGAAGCCCGCAAAGAAATTAGCGTCGATGAGAAGGTTCGCTTTCAGCCAGAGCTCTTCTACATAGGATCTAATGTAGCATCCAGCAAAAGCACTACAGCGCTATCCACAGAATTGGTACACACTTTCGAGAGCTGTTCAAGAGCCAAAGGGTCGAACACAGCACTAATGCTCGATTCGAAAAATGGCTCTTCCAGCACCGTATTACCCTTGCCCTCGATCTCGAGGCATCTATCTTCTTGAACAACTGGACCGGTGTCTGCACAATCATCGAAGAAGCTAGTCCATTCTTAGACGAGAAACTCAGCTCAGTATTCCTAGACGGTATTCTCCGCTCTGAAGGTCACCTAAAAGCCAGAGTACAAGCAGCCAAGGTATGCATACACTTATCAGCCCTTAATTTCAGCCAGGTTTTCACACCCCCTTTGCTGCTAAATGCCCAAATATATATGCGCGCAAGCTGATTATCCAACGCAACGCATGGCAGACTCTGCTCCGAACCCTGCACACCTCGCCATCCCCCTTCCTAGACAAGTCAACCTTCATCATCCCAGCCCTTCCCCGCTACAATCGCTGCCTGTTCCAACTCTCCCTCGACGCAGCAGAGTACCAGATCGCAGAGTCGATTCTCGATCAGTCTCTCATATTAGTTCAAGAAAAAGATGCCAAAGCCGGGAACAATGGCAATCTGTCACTACCGGGCTATCCCGAAGATGAGATACGATGGCTATCAACCGTAGCATTCAATCGAGCGGTGGATTACTACCTCGCTGCTGCGGATGCGGATTGCCGACGATGGGCCGAGAAAGCAATCAGCCTTGCTGATATGGCAAAAGATGATGGTGCACTGGGAAGGTTATTAAGGAGCAAGCTGGAGATGCTGACTTGATATGAAGCGTCCAGATTTAATGACATCGTGGGAATTCTAAGGGAGGAAAGGGAAAGGGAGAATGGTATTCAGTAGGGAGATGAAGATATATATTTTTACCGAGGTGAAACAGCAATGTCATCAGTATTAGTTTAACATGCATGTACTTTCGAGACTTTGATGTATAAACACACGCGTTTCATCTTAGTACCAACTCATCCCAAGTCTTTAATTTTCCTCTCCACAATATCTTCCGCAACTGTAACACTGTTAAGTACCTTCATAGGGCTGTATTTTTCGTTTTCCATTTTTCAAGATTCAAAGTTGGCGCTAATGCACCTGGATGACGCTTTTTTGACCGATCAGAGGCTATAGTAGTTCTCCCTAAGTATCGCCAGATCCACTTCAATTTACTAAGTATGGACAGTGTAGAACCACTACCTTGGCGTTAACTTTAACTTTGATGTTCCAATTGAGCTGCGGTCTAGATTTGCTATTAACATACTACGAGCGTAGGAACAATTCTATCTCAACATGTGTATGCTGTATGCTGTCTACTATATCCAGGCATAACATAACGAATCAGATTCTCCCTTTCTCACTTACTATTCTACTATAATCACCAACAACAGAGAAAACCAACACTCATCTAAAACTCAAACTTCTCCCACACAAGCTCCTCACTCACACTCCAAAGCCTCTCCGCAATCCCCCTATCAGTCGCAAACGCAACAACACCCCCATCATCAACCTTACAATCAGCCAAATAAACCCCCTTAACCTGTCCATCCTCACTATCAACATCCACCACCTTCAAACGCGGATCCACCGCCGCCAAAACCGTCGTATTAGCCCCAACCTCCCTTGACTTTGGCGTAGGATCCATCCCCAAATCCTTCACCCTCTGCAGGGAAGTCTCAATCTCGCTAGGTGTCGCATGTCGACCAATCCCCGTGTCGACAGTGCCGGGGTGTATGGCGAACGCAGCGATGTTGTACTTAGCTAGTAGTTTCTGGTTGAGGGATATCGCGTGCAGGATATTGGCGGTCTTGGACTGTCCGTAGGAGAAGAAGCCGTAGTATGTCTCGTCTGCGTGAGAGTTGCCGATGAGGTACTCTGTTTTTTGAAGGTCGGGACGCTCGGACTCGGGTAGTTCGTTGGGGAGTTTGGTGAAGGAGAGGTCGGTGAAGCGGACGGGAGAGAATTGGTGGCCGAAGGAACTGAGGTTAATGATTCTTGTTGGGGGAGCAAGACCAGAGGTGGAGGCTTTGGTAGTGGTGGTAGAAGCGGCCTTGATCAGCTTAGGTAGGATAAGGTTGGTAAAGAGGAAGTGGCCGATGTGGTTCGTTGCAAAGGTCGTCTCGAGTCCGTCCTCGGTGAGGGTTCGGGTAGGAATGGACATGACGCCTGCGTTGTTGATCAGGATGTCGATGGTGGGGATGGAGGTGTCGGCCAGGAGTTGGGATGCTGCGGCGCGGACGGATTTCTGGGAGGATAGATCCATGATTAGGGCGTGGTAGGTGGTGGCTGGGTAGGTTGATTGGAGGTGGGTGATGGCCGCTTGGACTTTCTCGGTGGATCGGCCTGAGATAATCAGATTTGCAGGCAATTGGGAGGCGAAGGCTTCGGCGGTTGCGAGTCCCAAGCTGCCTGGGGAGACGCCGGTGATGAGGATGGTCTTGCCCTGCACGGCTTCAGGGAAGGAAGCCGTGATCTCGGTGGCCGGGGTCTGGGGGGTGACTGTCATCTTGAAGTGTTCTAATCAATGCTAATGAAGGTTCAAGCATGAAGCATGGGCCTGGGACATGAGGGTTGAAGAGGTCATTATATAGCCATAATTCTGATATGAGTGGTTTTTGTATACACCCTGCTGTTCGATGATTGGTTAAAGAGCAGTCATCCAGTTGCACCGGTTCGGTGGGTCTTTGGCCTCATCTGGGTATATTATGGAGATTGATGCTTCTGGATGATGAGGATGGTGCTGTGGACACTGGATACATTAGTAGATAATTATGCTTCTGATCTCATACATCTCATATCATCTTCGGAAGAAGAAAGATGTCATGATGGGGAATACTCATTTGATGACATTTCTATATGCGCTTTTGATGTGAAAGAGATGGCTGCCAAATTACTTCAACACGCTGAAGTCATATTAAACCTCTTGGAATTTCTGAATGACTTCAGATATATTGTGATATGTTGCCGACACAATAATCACTAATGCATCTACTATTGGTAATGGTGCATGGTTACTGCATTGTTGGACATTTGAAAGTTTCAAGCCGTTTGGCACTGAAATACGGTACCAGTACCAGTAGTGCTGCTTCTTATGTAATTATTTTTGCCTCCCCGTGCCTCGGAGTTTGTCTGCCTACTATCTCCGTCTCTTCCGGCAGCCCTTTTGTAGAACATAAATCCTCACTCGCTCAGCTCGCGTCATCCATCGTATTAAAGTACTAGCCATGCTTCCTCCCATGTCTCCGCAGAAGCGGGTCTCTCGCCTCAACGAGAATTGGGCGGGCATCACCGATTCCGCCCTTCGCAAGAAGCTGCAGAACAGAATAAATCAACGTGCTTTGCGTAAGTCCATCTACTCCAGTATCCTGTTATTCTGCGGAGTATAATTCGGCTACTGCGGCTCTTGGCCCGAACCGATCTAATTATAGCACCTTCAGGAGCTCGAAAACGTGATCAGAAAAGAGCTTTCATTGCACAGCAGCAGGCCAGGAGTAAGGAAAAACGACACTATGCATTGATTCTCCCACGGCCAGATCCAGTGTCAGCAAACCAAGGCACGCGGAAACTGCTGCTTCCGCGACCAACATCGCTGTCGGAGGCTGTAGCCATGATGATGAGTTTCCACGCCGCAGCCTACGAACGGTACTACGCGGCGGATCCGTGTCTGGATCATCTGTTGACCTTGTCCAAGTTGAATGTTCTGCGTGCGTTCGTTGATATCATGGGCGTACTGGGGTGGAGTGTACAGGCGATGGAGGATAATGAGGCTGTCTCTCCGTTTACCGGCTGGAACCTACAACAGCAGTTTAAAGAGACAAGTGTTCCGCTAAATCTTTTGCCCACCACTACTCAATGCTCCGTCCCTCATCATCCCTGGTTTGACTGTTTCCCGTTTCCGCAGATGCGCGATAATCTTATCACTGCTGGGGAGGGGTTTGATGATTGCGAGCTCTGCGAGGACATGATGGATCCTACTAACGGGGACATTGGCATTATGGTGTGGGGTGACCCTTGGCTTCCGCAGAGTTGGGAAGTGTCCGAATTGTTCGTTCAGAAGTGGGCGTGGGTTATGAAAGGATGCCAGGAACTTTTGGTCTCTAGTAACTACTGGAGAGCTAAACGAGGACTGGACGAGCTCGATGTGAGCGCTCTATGATTACATACGTATATTATTCGACTGGTGCTGCTCGATTAGATGTTCTTGAATCAGCGAGCATCGCTCTACTTCGTTTCATCACCAAGTTTCGACCCGCCACGGACTTTCTCAAAAACACCGAGTGTGTGGTCCCAAATGAGCCCTCCTATCCCTTGCTCGCGATAAACCTGCATGATACGACTGGGTTTATAGGTTGATCCGGTGGAATCAAGCCGATAGAACCCACTCCCGATTTTTCCATCCGAACCTTCAGCAGCATCCATCTTGTCTCCACACATCCGCGGTGCGAATCGCAAATTCGTCGCTGCATACAAATGTCTCTCTCCACTCTCCTCGAATGCAATCTCCCATGGCCGTCCGAGGAAAAGCAAGGCGCTTAATGCAGTCTTGGCAATGCCACCCAGGTCCCGGTCTAGACGTGTCCGCACGAGTCCGGGGAAAGAGTGAATGAACGAGACTTGTGGATACGAAGCAGCCAGATGCTCCATGGCAACCGAGTTCATGGTGATCGCATGCTTTGAGCAGTTACGGAGCGAATAGTTGGTTTTGAGAGAGAGATCGTCTAGGTGAAGTGCTGCTTCGCCTCCGGCTTCAAGTACCGAGACCACACGCGAAAGCTGGTGCGGCTGTTGCTGTTGTTGACCCTCGCCAGCCTTGAGAAGCTGCGGGAGGAGATTTGCCACGAACCGCATCCGAGCATAATAGTGGAGCGTTAGTTTCTTGTCGAGCCCTTCGGTAGTCTCTAAAGTAAGGACAACTATTAGCAATAAGCATCAAATCATCATTTACGGGTCGTCATACCATCTGGCCCATTCATCGACCCAGTCCCGGGGCTCAAAAACAACAGATTCAATCGATCCTCTTTCTTCTTGATATCCATGCAAACCTCATCGACCTCCCGCAGAAGAGACACATCTGCCTTGATAAACTCAACCTGCGAGTCTGGCTTGATTTGCCGCAATTCCTCGATAATCCGACTTGCTCTTGCCTGGTCGCGCCCAATCAAATAGGCACGGGAGGCGGTTGTATTGCGGATGAATGCGCGTGCCGTCGATTGGCCTATTCCGCTTGTTCCGCCGACTACATGAAAAATCAGTTTTGACTTTGTATATGTCTGGGAACGAAATTCGAGACTCACCAAATACTGCAACCAGATCAGACCCATACAGACGAGGGATAGCGCCGTTATGATCCCGTACTGCTGTAATAGACACCATGATTCGAGCTATTAATCCTGTCTTTCCAGTTAAAGTTTGAAGGATAAAGCTATTAGAACAAGCGATTTTGCCGGGGGTGGGGGAGTTTATACCTATCCATTGTACTGGATAGACGGAAAGAAACCTCAAAAAGGAGTGGACCTTGCGAAAAAGCGAGGTAGAAGAGGATGTATATCTCGTTAATCTGATTGGCTGAAAAAGCGTCAGCCAGATGCCTTGGCGCAGAAGATGGGGCCGTTGGTGGCACAGCCTGGACTGCCCGTAAGGATGGAAGTTCTAGATTAGGATTTATTTCTATTTCCATCCAGAGTTCGGAGATAAGAATCGTAAAAAATAAACCTCCAATTACTATGAGACTAGTAAATAATTCTACAAACTATTCATTCTTATCAAATACTTTAAGTTATTTAGTATTTCGTTAGGGCCCTAAAGAGGGAAGAAAGATTATATATAAATGCAGAAGAACCCGGTTGAACGAAGGAAAAAGTACAACTCTACACAGTAGTAATACTGTAAGATGTTAGAATGAAATAAGGGCTAGCTTGCATAAGAAGACATAACAAGACTCCGGAGAATGCTCGTTACTATTAAATTCCCTGAAATTGAGTTTAGGCGGTTTTCTGGGTAACCAGGCACACACAGTAGGCGACTGCATAACCATAAACTGAATGCATAACCCCTTCCCCTACTCATTGGATTAGTTCGGTATTATAGTAGAGAAAGATGATGTTGTTTACAAGACTGCCGAAATTTGATGGATGTCATCTTGTCTCTTGTGTACTTATCTGAAAAGCGACTATAACTCTTAATGGTATCAGCTAGGGTGCTATTGTAGTAAGGTTTCCTTAGATACTACTAGTAGCTACCATCTCCTTCGCGTACTACTCAGAAGATGTAACTAGATAGTACTGTTGTCATTATCGTTAGTCCTGTTCACTGTATGGTAGGCATCAGTCCTAAAAGATGATAAATTGGGAGCTATTTCTCTATTCGGATCTTCTATTTATTATAGTGCTATCGTTTAGAATGAGGCGACTGGGAGTCTTGCCAGCGCTGGCTGTGAATGTAAGCAAATTATTCAAGGGCACAGCAGAGCCATATCAATATTGACATTGGGTAGAAGTTCAACATGGCATATAAATAAAAGTCAGAAGAGTACAGTCTTCTGTCGCTATCTGCGACAATCTTTGGGTATCATTTAGAAGGTAGGTAAGATCCGAACGATGGATAAAGATTCGGGGAAAATATGAATGAAAGGTAGATGAAAAGTCTTGAAAATGAACCGATACAGTAAAGTGAAGGAATCTTCGAGAGGGCAATAGTGCAATGGCGGTTGCAAGAGAACATCTCGCGTGGTGAAACACTGAGCGTTCAATGAGGACAGACTTGGTCAGCTTGCAAGGGAAGGCTTGGAGAAAGAAGTCGAAAACATGCGCCCCAAACTCCTTGAACTTTCCGCGACCCGAATATCATGCAAGAGGGTGGAAGCAGAATATCAAACACCTGCAATGCGCAAATAAGATGAAACCATACCCAAGCAGACCCCTCGCATGAGAACAAATGAAGTCTAAGGATAGCACTGAATTTCCTGAGTGTTACGAAGAAGGGCAGGGCGAATAATAAAGAAAAGAAGTGGAAGAAAGAAAAGAACGAAGGTTGGAAAGATATAAATGCGTGAACAAAGGCAGGCGCCAGTGGAACCGCCTTCGTATTTAGCTCACCCTATCCGCATGAAGCGTCAGGCGTCTCTTTCGAGCGTACAACCGACAACAGCGTCTGGCAGGATGTATATATGGATCTCTTGGATGCATCATGCAAGGGATTTTTCATTCTCCTTTCCGCTGCTTTCAGTCTCAGTCTCCGCGCTCTCGCTGCTGTTACTTCGAAGGTTGAGAGCCCGTAGAGTTAGGTTCAGCTCTCTCTCGAGCTCCTTCTGGGCATGAATATTTCCCACTGAACCATTGAGCTTCTTCCTGTAAGCTTTCAATGTACGACACACTTGTTCGGTGGACGTGTTGAGGCTTCCAAAATCGCTTTTCCCGGAAAGTCTGGCCCGAGCACGAATATCAAGAGAGGAACGGCGGGATTCGCCTCGACTACTGCCAGCCTTTCTTGTGCTTGCGGTCTTTGAAGTATGCAAGGAGGGAGATGTGGGGTGTGACTTGTCTCGGCAAGCGCTAGAGGTGGGGGAGCGACGATTTGATGTCGCCGAAGGCGTAGTGGGCGGTGGTGTATTCCCGTGCTTTGCGGGAGACAGCGAGAACTTGGAAAGCTTCCGTAAGAAAGTCGGAGAATGGCCGCGAGCCGGAGTGGGGGTGACAGCCATGTTTTCCTGTCGTTGGAGCCCGGCAAGCTCGGTTTTAGACAAAACCTTGCGTAGAGGGGGCTTAGCAAGTGTCAATTCCTTCACAGGAGCATCATCGTCTTTGTGTAGGACTGGCAAGGGCTCCGATGATGATTGAGGGAGCACAGATACTCCCCAGATCATAACAAGCCCATCAAGACCGGAGCTGATGAGTATCCGGTCGTCTGACTGGGTGGAGTCATTGGAGTGATTTGCAAGTAGGCAAGCATCGCTCATGCCTTCTGTATGCCCAAATTCAGCTGAGAGAAGCACGCCACGTTCCAAGTCGTATACACGTATTGACTTGTCTGTGGTTGAGACTCCGAAGAGTAGCTTCGAGAAACTCTGCTTTGAGATATCAGAAGTCACAGTCAACGAGTTCATGACAACTGTATCATTTCCATCCGAATCTATAGCTCGGAAGGACATGATCTGACGACCGGAAGCGAGGTCATATTGTTGAATACATCTATCAGCAGTAGATACGACAAGGACATCAGTGTCTGTAGAAAGAGTCATGGACACTGGGGATGCCTTCATTGTGATCACCCTGGTGATCAAGTAAGCAACAATCGGCGTGCCATTGACCTCCCGGCTAACACGGTCTCTAATGAGAATGGTACGATCGGCAGATGACGAAAGGAGCTTCTCTCCGTTGTCAAGGAAGAGGAGTTGGTTTACGGCCCCAACGTGGTCATCCATAGTTTGGACTAACTCAAGTTTGTTATTGCTTCTCTCGAATAGCTGGACCATGCGGTCACGTCCACAGCTGGCGATCAAGCAGGTATCCGGTGTTGTATGCAGAGCAATATCAGTGATTTCTCCTCCATGGGCTCGGACCTCATGTAAGGGCTCCCATGAGGAGCCTAGCAGCATCCTGTGTCGCTCTGGTCAGCAAAACGATGAACTTGACTCCTATCAAATAACGAAAACGCACCTTAGGACACCGAATTTATCACCCGAGACAAACAGGTCAATCTCATCCGTAGCTCGTACTACTTTCAACTCATTGGAAATGTCCTCATCACAGCCAGGGGGATGCTCCAGAACGATTGCACGCGAATCCTTGCACTTCCCTCGGGAGTCCCAAAACTTCACGCTGCCCTTGCGAGACCATGTGAAGAAAGTAGCTTCATACTGGTTCGGAGTTTTGAGTCCACGTATCCCAAGCACCGCATCTCTGTGAGCAGAGACCATGGTTTGAGGGGTTCTCTGGTCGACTTCGTCGCCCAATTCGTCGCCCGAATGTATCTCAATTGCATTAGTCGAGTCCACCGCTACCACACGAGACCCCAGAGAACCGATGCAGATTATTGCAGGGCCCTTGAGCGCCTGCTCTGCTGATGACCTGCCAGAAAGTGTGGGAGACAGGGGAGCGGCCGATGAGCGTATCTTCTCGAAACTGAAAGGTTGAATCTGTCCACCCCTTCCGCCAACCCAAACACAAGAGCGGTGCCAGTCGACCGCCAAGGAAGTTATGCCAAAGTCCAGGTATTGAACGACGGATAATTTCTGGGATCCCTCACTATCATCCACCAAGCATAAAGCCCCCGTATCAGTGCCTACGACCGACTCCCGATCGGAAAAGCTTGCTACGCTAGAAAAGGTGCTTTCGGCCAGTGAACCCAGTAAACAATTTCGCCCCGAAAATGCTTTGGGAATCTGACTCGGGGAGCTGCTTGGGACCTCCACAGTAAGGCGAGACCGAGGGGAACCAGGCCTCGCATCTGGAAGTCTCCAAACTTTCACATGTCGGACTCCCACACTATAACACGAGTTAGTTAATATCCCACTCAACATATAGCATACACCGCTAGGACGTACGTAATTAATGTCTGACCCATCCAACACATGTCACGGACATGGGAAGTGCACTTGTTGGTTGAGTGGAGTTTTGCCGAACCAGTCTTCGGGTTGATGGTCCATACGAAAAGAAATCCATCATTTACATCACCGAGCGTCGCTAGATACTGGGAATCTGGACTGAAGGCCAGGCCACGCACACCAAATGTATGCTCCGTAAGGATTGAAAGTGGGATTTCCGAAGATGTGTCTTTCGCTGTTGAGAAGATCATAATTCGGGGGCTGTAACCAGTCTAGCAGAAGTCAGTGCATTGTTGACGGCGGCACAAGGGTTACTTGGCTTACTTCTCCCACTGCGAGGAACTCCCCATTAGGGCTGATTGCGGTACACGTAACCGCCTTAACTCTCTCGCGGGAAGACCAACCACGGGGACTACCGGGATCAGCCGTGTCATGGCACGGAGAGCCATTGTAAGCATTGCTGTGGGCGGTCGATCTCAGGCTTGAAGAGAACTTTGCTCGACTGTCAGGCGTTGTAGGCGGCGTGGATTGGTGGTAGAACGATGTAACTGGATTTACACTGGCTGCCGAGGGCCGTGCCCTGAAAAAGCGTTGATTTACACAGTCCTTGTCATCCAATTCAACCAGTACCGCCACTGAGCCAGCACAGAGGGCGAAAGACCTGCTTTGCTCATGACTCGAGAATCCATGGGGGGTAGTTGTGGTTGTTCCGAGTACTGTCCGCAGGGACAAGGCTGTCTGATGAGACGGTGCTTTGTGTATGGAAGAGCGCGTTGGCGGTCTCAGGATTGGAGAATTCGAAGGAGTGATGCGAAGCGATGAAGCGGGCCTGCTCTTTGCGCTCAACGAGTTGGTCGTCATTGCGTCGGCTTCATTCACGAGGGATTACGATCTTTCAGTCGACAGGATTTCGAACGCATTGGTGAACTGGGGGCTTGTATGTCTTTTTTATGCCTGCTTCCGACAGAAAATACTGTATGGCTCTCAAAGGCCCTGGTTTCGGGGAAAGAGCCGCAGGTCAAGCGAGGAAGGAGGAAGTGTGGAATATCGAGGAGCCTTGCTTATGAGCGACGGAACTTTTCGGTCGGGAGGGACGAGGAATTCGGTGTCGACAGCAAAGTCTCTTTTCGTTCTCCGTAGATGCTCTTCTTTTTCTCCTTATGCGTGGATGGCGGCGAAGAGGCTGGAGTGAAGACAGAAAGAAAAGGCGGCGGAGATCGGGGAGAAGGACGAAAGGACCGGCGAAGGAGGGGGGGCAGGAATCAAAATAAAAACAATCGCTCTAAATGAATGACTAGGTCAGATGGTCAAGGGAAAGGAGCGAGGGAGAGAAGAGAATGTAGGGAAGGGATGATTGAGGCCTTGACGAAGCCAAAGGCAGAATGTGGGCGAGGTGAGCCAGATAAACACAGAGCTCCCAGCTTGACCACCACCAGCACCACCACAACCATAACATTCCACGGGCGGAGAGCCGAAAAATGATGGACGAACCCTTGGCGCTGGGCTGCTTCTAGTCGTGTTTAGCTTCGGGAAAGCTAAATTCGGGGGGTACTTGAAAGATCCCGTCGAGCTGATCCAAGATCCTAGACGATCATCCCTGATCCGGTGGGGAGAAGAAGCGAGAGATGCTGCCAGTCACGGCAGTGGGATAAGAAAATGAGATGGTGGTTACTCCCACCACCACACCAACGTCTTCCCACTTTTGTGTTTGTGTCTCCTCCCATCATGTCTTGCCCAGTGATCGGGCCAACCTCCCAGCGAGATTGGGAATGAAAGTTGAGAGGCTTGATCGACCTCCTCACAGGGCATTAAGTGGCCCCGGCTCGGTGGGGATCTGCTAATCCTTCTGGGTTCTTTTGACTTGTCGTGAGTAATCATCGTCCATGACACAGCCAATTCATCCTTCTTACCACTGCCATGCGTGGTCTGTTATCAGTTGATAGTGGAAAGAAGAAAGAAAGTATTAGCTGAAACATATTCAATAAGTAGCCAATTCGTACCGCAACTGTCAAGGCGAGGATGAAACTCAGGTTACAATCCGGTCCGTAACCTTTGGCACTAACGAAAGTTGTACTTGTGACATGCTGTATGGCACGCCGACTAGTGCGGCACAAGGGGACAAAGAGCTGGAGATTAAGGCAGACAATCGGCTTGGGTAGCCTTGACTTTTAGGCCAATCGTGATTAAACGGGATATTACGGTGTATGCCTTCAATTTGCACCAATGAGCCCCTTACCCGGGTAAAGAATGGAATCGAATTATTAGAGACATCTAGACATTTACTACATAGATCTTGAATATTAGTCCAATCCCTCATCAGCCATCCTCGTGCGTATAATTAATATCAATAGATGGGTGGAGCGATATATCGTATCGGGCCAACCTCGATGTGGCTACCAAAAGGGTAGAGCGACTAATCTCCGCTCTGCAACTGTTCATGCTCTTCATTTTGATGGTTTATCACCTTTAGGGCAACTGACCGGTCTTTCCAGGCTTGCTTCTCTCCACCGCTCCTTCTACTTTGACAGGTCTGCTTCCTCCCTGTGGCTTGATCACTTGGTCACATGATATTTTTGCCTCAGGCTCTAATTGTTCTAGGCCTCTTCCAGAGAAGTCTCTCTGCAGTCGCAAGTCTCTTAGTGTCCGGGATAATTTTCCCAGCTTCCATCTCTCTCTTTTAATCAAGGATCACCTTGTCTGTTGGGTCTTTACTATGGCAGGTGTCTGCGCTTCATCCCTCAAACTCTCCCTCCCAAATGTCTTGCGAAATGCTCTTCGTTCAGAAATCGCCTCGGACCTCCATCAGGGTCCCGCATCTCGGAGAATCCTCTCCATAGCGCCTCTCTCTCATACCAGATGCAAAACGCAACGACGGAACTTCAGCGCCTCTATTAAACCTCACCTCTGCCAATCCGCGACATATCTATCAGCACATGACTCCTCCCCTTCCACCTCAGCTCCTTCCAATACCGCGCCGCTGGAAAGCCCAGAAAATAAGACATCTTCCTCGACCGAAGCAAATGCATCGCCAGAAGTGGATGACTTCAAAACCAGCCATGTGGACTCCATAACTGAGACACCTACCTCCGATACACTTCCCGATAAAAAGCGTACCAAATCATCTCGATCGAAGAACCGTTCACGTCATGAAGAACCCCCTTCCAATCCCATAACTCAGAAGAAACCGGAGAAATGGCAGATTCATAAACAAGCCCTGAAAGAGAAATTTAAGGAGGGATGGAACCCTCCAAAGAAGCTTTCCCCCGATGCGCTGGAGGGTATTCGGCACCTTCACGCGGTCGCCCCGGAAAAGTTTACTACACCGGTTCTTGCGGAAGAATTCAAGGTCTCACCGGAGGCTATTCGACGGATATTGAAGAGCAAATGGAGGCCTTCTGAGACCGAAATCGAAGACCGACGGAAGAGATGGGAGAAGCGACATGATCGAATCTGGGGCCATTTATCGGAACTCGGCCTACGACCAAGTACGAAGCGCACCCGAGATTTGACAGACGCAAAGCAACTGCTCTATGGCAATAACCAGAAGAAAGGGGGAAAGGCGTAAGTAATGATGGACAGGCCTGTGCAGGCAGTCACCATGTATATTATCACATGTACCATACGAGCTATCTATATTGTTTGCATTAAATAGCATATAAGAGGCGTTCTGGATTGAATTTGTGGAGAATTTGCTTCTTTTCTTTGTTCTCCAAAAGCTTTCTCAAGTCCTCCGATCCGAGGTTGTATGGCCAGGGAGTGCCGTCATTTGTAACATACAGTTTCACAGAAGTGAAAGGGATTTGCGGGGATAAAGGGATCCCCCAGCCGGAACTAGACAATGGTTATAGATCAACTTTGCTTTTCTCCGGACTGGGAGAAGATCCTAACCGGGAGTCCGACAGCATATCTATCATATGTCGAGGGGCACAGCTTCTCTACGTGGTTCGTCATGGGATTGCAATTCCCTCCCGTCGGCCGTAGTGCACCACCAACCACCACCAGCGCGTCCTCACCCCGACAAGAACGTTATGGCACCCGCTCTGTGTCCTTCCTCCCTCCACATCCTCCAACGATTATGGCTTACACGATTTAATGGTATGCCCTAGCTGGCGTCGATTACCCTTTCTCTCAGTGTATCATATTTGCCAATCTTCACTTCAGCCCTCGTTTTGGTGGCGGCTGGTACCCGCCATCTACCCCGGACCTTCGTGATTCTTGTCTGCGGTCACCCGCCCACATGGTGGCCTTGCGTTCGTCGCCATGCCCTCAGACATCCAGGTTTTCGTGAAATGGAAGGATCAAACGATATTCGCCGGGGAAGATGTGGAATGTATCATTACCTTCAAGAACGTCGCGGAGACGAACGGAGAATCCCGGAACGGGGGGCAGTCCTCGCATCAGAGACATCCATCGCGAGCTACCAGCTCACATTCAGAGTCACTGTTCTCGCTCAGGTCACCTCAGAAATTCTTCTTCAGTCCACACCGCCGCTCATACTCTAGCGTATCCAAAAAGAGCCCGTCGCATCGCCCGTCCTCATCAGTGAGCTCACCGTTGATCGGTTCTCACAGCTTTCCGCCCCCGTCCACCCCTCGCGGCGGTCCACCTGCTGGTGGAAAGCACAAACGCTCAGTATCTATTCTTTCTATCGATAGCGAAACAACAGGAGAGCCGACTCCCAGAACATCTTCCCAGTTCAGTCGATCGAGGCCGGTTAGGGGCCATGGGCGCGCTGCGAGTCTACAGGTTCTTCCGAGGAGGAATGAGTTCTATGAGGAATCGTTTGCAAAAGGTACCTTCAATGAATAGCGCGATCGGGGATTGATCGATCATCAGGCTGACTACAGTCAATTGCTAGCAGGACGCAACACGTATCGTGGCTTTCCGCCCCCGGAGTCCCCGGTCACTTCGTCTCCTGGAAACCCACGAATAGACATTGATGATGTAGGAGGACCTACTTCCCAGCCCTCATTCGAGTCACCTCGTACACCTGCGCGTCGGCCTCAATTGCCACCTATCGAGTTCAAATTTCCACCTTCGCCGGGGACTGATACACAGTCTCGCCCTACTCTATCTCCTCTCGCGACACCCTTTGAAGAGGGCCCCGGACAGACAAAGCCCAATGGAAGGGAGTCAGCCACATTAGCTGCCCCGGGCCATCTGCCTCAACTCACCAGAATCATGTCGACCTCCAGCCTCACTGGTAGTCATAGAAGCAGCAATGAGTATAACTCTGTCAGCGACAATTCTTCAGAAACTCTGCAATCCGAGTACACCAACTACTCAATGGCGATGCCGCGCCAGAATATCCCTCGTCACGCGCGACACATGTCGAGTATTGAGTCTCCGGGAGTTCTGCCCAAGAGCCAGACTCTACTCATGGGCTATGCCCAGATCAGTGCGTCTTTCACTGTTGACGGTTCGCTGATTCATCAGTCACATTTCGAGGAAGTAAAGCGAAAAGGTGTTGTCGGTGGTGCAGGGTCTGCGCTGGGTATGAACAGCGGGAAACCGGCTATGAACAGCGACAAGAATCGCAAGGGCGGCGGCTTCTGGGGCGCCTTCAAATGGAATGCGATCGAAGAGTCGCTAAGCGGTTTGCTCTCCAATAATGAGTTGGATGGCCTACGAGATATGCGAGGAGTTTCGTCTTCGAAGTCCATACCATTGCTGTCTACTACCCAGTCCCTTCTCTTCGTGGACCTACGACTGGCACCGGGAGAAGAGCAATCTTACTCCTTCACGTTTACTCTGCCATCGGGACTTCCAGCCAGCCATAAGGGGAAAGCTATTAAGATATCTTACAACCTCGTCATCGGTACACAGCGGCCGAGTGGCCATCATGAACCCCAACGGGTCAA